GTTTGGCTAATAATTGTTTCATTGCTGTAAAATATACAAAATCTAAGTATTAAAGGCCATGAGTTTAGTTCAGTGATAGTGTTTTCCAAAGATAGTTTTCTAAGCGTATCTTGTTTTTGCCTGATTTGTAATTTCTAACTAATATGTTTTCAAAATTATTGTAAGTGATATATAATATAAAATTAGAGATGATCAGTATAGATCAGAACTAGAGCTCCTGCATAGCTAGTCTACACAGATCCTAGCATTCTAAAAAAATTTTTAAAATATAAATAACACTGGTGAGTGTGTGGGAGACCTTCTGACTATGCTGAGCCAGCAGAGCCTGCTGGTCCAAGCCCAGGCGGAGCTTGGGTGAGACCCCCTTCCACCCCCTTGGCCCCCCCCACCAATCCACAACATCCTACCGTGAGAATTTCTGCCGCATTCTGGGGACCCCCATTTCCAGCCCTAGCCCAGGCCCGGTGAGTGTGTGGGAGAGCTGCCTCTCCCCCCTACTTCACCTTGTCCTCTCTAGACTCAACTAGGCCTGGACTACAGGCCTGGGGTGAAACCCTACAGCTGCAATCCCTGCAGAGAGAGTAGGGGACAGAACCAACCAGCTAGTCCAGGAGCAGAACATCTTACCACAGGGGCACAACAGGTTCACCCTCAAGGGCAGGAGTAGGAAGGAGCTGAGCACAGCAGCCAGACCCAAGCCAGGCACAGCTGAATAAATCCAAACTTTGTAGAACTACACCTGTATTTCCATAGGTGCTAAGGTTATAACTGCACCAAAGCTCTACAACAAAGGTCTGAAGACAATGCTACACAAAATGACAATGAGAAGGAGTAAAATGCAATCTCAGACCCCAAGCCTACCCATAACAAGTGCAGAGGACACTAACATAGAACAAATTGGGAATCACACAGCTGAAATCAATGAATTGATGTCTTCTGAAATAAAGAAACAACTGCAGAAAGGTATAAAGGAACTTAGATTGGAAATGAAGAAATAAACCCCCGAATTAATAGCATCTGCAGTAAATAATCAAATGCCGAAACATGTGGAGGAAACCCATTGCCCACCCAGAACAAGTGCAGAGGACAGTAGCTCAGCTCAAGTGTATGAATTAATAGCGTCGATAGTAAATAAGCAACAGCAGAAAGTTAAAGAGGAACTCACAGCTGAATTCTTTTCTGAAATAAAAAAAGAATTCTCTGAACTCATAGCACCTGAAGTAAAGAATCTGCTACAGAAAAATAAGGAGGAAACCCAATCTAAAAAAAACACAACACTGCAGTAAAAGAATTAATAACTGCTTCTAAAGAA